AGACTCAGATAACCTATAGTGATTGGCCATGGGAATGAGGTCAATGGGTTGTGTAGGCCTAAAGTCATACACTACTTCATGCGGACTCTTACCAGTTGTCCTATTAACAGATGAATTATATGTAAACTCAACGATGGACAATTTTAGATCCTAGTTCCCAACATGCTCACTAACAATGGTACACAAGAGATTTCCTAGACTCTGGTTGATAACTTCAGTCTGGCCGTCGGTTTGAGGATGAAAAGCAGTGGAGAATTTGAGCTTCGTGCCTAACTTATGCCAAAGAGTTTTCCAAAAGTAACTAGTGAACTTCACATCTCTATCAGACACAATAGTCTTTGGCAGACCATGCAATTTGACAACGCCATCAAAATGAACTTCACATCTCTATCAGACACAATAGTCTTTGGCAGACCATGCAATTTGACAACGCCATCAAAAAAATTTGGGCCACTCTCAAGGCATCACACGTTCTAGAACAAGGTAGAAAATGGGCCATCTTGGAGAATCAGTCAACCACAACAAGGATTAAATCGTGTTTTCTAAGGGTTTTCAGGAGACCTAACACAAAATCCATACTAAGATCTTACCATGGGCAATCACGGGCCGGCAGTGGAGTGTACAAACCAGTGTTCTGTTTTCGTTGTTTGGCTAATTGGCAGATATGACATCTCCCAACACAATTGGTAACATCGCGTTTCAAACTGGGCTAATAGAATCGATGTTCTATGGCTTCAATGGTCTTTTCATTTCCAAGGTGCCCAGCTAAACCTCCAGCATGTAATTCCCACACAAGAAATTCTCGCAGAGAAGTTTGCGGAATGCACAATCTACGGCCTAGAAATAAGAATCCATCTTGAAGAATATAGCCGACAATTTCCCGAGTCGTCCCATCAATCAACATTGCGTACATCTCACTGAAGTCTGGACATGACTCATAATCCATTTTAAGTTTCTCAAAACCAACAACAACTGTGGATAATTTTTTCTGGACATAGACTCGTCGGCTGAGAGCATCAACAGCCTTGTTGTCAACTCTCGCTTTATGTCGCAAGGTGAAGGTTTAATCCTAAAGAAATTCAACCCAACGTGCATGACGGGAATTCAACTTTTTCTGGGAGTAAATATATAGAAGGGGTTCATGATCTGAGTATATGACAAATTCTTGCGGCATCATGTAATGGCGCCAATGGCGAAGTGATTGAATTACAGCGTAAAATTCTTTGTCATAGGTGGTGTATCGTCATGTAATGGCGCCAATGGCGAAGTGATTGAATTACAGCGTAAAATTCTTTGTCATAGGTGGTGTATCGCAGACGTGTATCATTCAACTTCTCACTATTGAATTACAGCGTAAAATTCTTTGTCATAGGTGGTGTATCGCAGACGTGTATCATTCAACTTCTCACTGAAATATACGACTGGATGACCTTCCTGAGAGAGAACTCCACCTATGTTAACTCCAGAAGCATCGCATGCAACTTCAAAGACTTTGTTAAAATCGGACAGGCGCATAACAGGGGCATTGACCATTCTCTCCTTGATTTCCAAAAATGCTTTGGTGGCTTCGCGTGACCACTCAAATTCACCTTTCTTCAAACTGTCGGTGATTAGAGCCATGATCGTGCTAAATCCCTTGATAAACCGACGCTAAAAGGTAGCGAGCCCGTGAAAGCTTCTCACATTACGGGTGTTCTTAGGCTCGGGCCAATCATTTATCGCTTTGACTTTCTCAGGATCTGCAGATACTCCTTCAGCGGAGACTACAAACCCTAAGAATTGAACCTGTGTGGTAAGAAAGGTACACTTCTTTGGATTCGCATACAATTCTTCCTTTCTTAGTATAGATCAACCTTGTCGCAAATGGTTGAGATGTTGCTCATGAGATTAACTGTAAATGAGGATGTCGTCAAAGTAGACTACCAAAAATTTACCCATGAACGGACGTAGTACTTGCGTCATCACTCGCATGAAAGTACTCGGAGCATTGGTCAATCTGAAAAGCATGACCATCCATTCGTACAACCCATCCTTCATTTTGAAGGCGGTCTTCCATTCATCTCTAGGACGAATGCGGATTTGGTGATAGTCACTCTTTAAATCGATCTTTGAAAAGACAGTAGCGCCAGACATCATATCCAACATATCATCCAAACGTGGGATAGGAAAACGATACTTCACCGTTATCTTATTGATGGCACGACTATCCACACACATACGCCACGATCCATCTTTCTTTGGCGTCAGCGAAGCGGGAACCGCGCAAGGACTCATGCTCTCTTGGATAAAACCTTTTTAAGCAACTCATCAACTTGCCTCTTGAGTTTAGCATGTTCAGTAGGATTCATCCTATAATGTGGCAAGTTGGGAAGACTCGCTCCAGGGACTAGATCAATAGCGTGTTGAATGTCACGCATTGGTGGTAACTTCTCTGGGAGATCTTCAGGGAAAACGTCAGCAAATTCTGAGATCATTGGAGTGACTTCAGGAGGAAGGGAGGTGTTAGATTCCTTAGCGACCTCCCTGTTTGTGAGTATCATGATTGGGACTCCCTTTTCAAACTCTTGATGGATCTCCTTTGCTGTGATCAAACTAACAACATTATTTTGTTTTACTGCAACTAGTTTTTGTTCAGGTTGCCTAGCCTTAGGTGCACTGGGTAGTAACTTGATCTTCTTTCCTTCATGTTCAAAATGGCTCGTGTTTGACCGACCATAGATAGTTATATCATTATCGTACAGTCATGGTCGTCCAAGGATGACATGACCCACATCCATGGCCACAACGTCACACCAATTCTTATCCTTGTAGAGATTAAAGTCTTATCGGTACAAGCATCTTTGTTTGACATCTAGTGCGATAGAATCAATCCATGTGACTCTATAAGGGTGCGGATGGGGTACAACTTTCAGACCAAACTTCGCGAGTTCTGTAGACGATATTGCATTGATGCAGCTTCCACTGTCCACAATAACTTTACATGATTTTACTCCAATCTTTGTGAATGTGTGGAATATGTTTGTTCGTCTCCAATCATCCTTATCCTTTGGTTAGGACAAGGCACATCTAGCAACTGCTAGTTGACTTGACTGTGTTGATCGAATGCAACTAAGACTAATGTCATTCTCGTCAAATTCCTCACTTGAATCGAAATCCTCTTCTTCCACATGATAGACGAATTCATCTGTCATTGACTCTAATTCTTCTACAGGCTCTCTGATGACAATGGCGATTTTTACTGGACTTGGACAGTTAGAGGCCACATGCCCATACCCTTAGCATTTGTAACATTTGGTAGTGGAACTAATCTTTGAGAAATTCCTTTCAGTGCCCTTGCCTTTGTTATCTCGTTCTATACTCCCACTCGAGGTATCAGTCTTATGTGACGATGTTTGAGTTTGAAATCGAGTTGGATATTGACTCGAAGTATGTATGTGCCCTTGTACGGAATTCTTGATAGTGGAGCTAGACCTCGTAGTATCTAAGTCCTGAACTATGGCATAGGCTTTCTCAAGCTCAGAAATTCCTCGAATCAAGAGTTCATTTCGCAAATCTTCTCGAAGTCCGGCTCTAAATCGGGAGAGAGTTTGGTGTGGATTCTCAATGTTCAAAGCATTACACTAAATTTGGAACTCTTCAAATTGAGTAACATAATCCTTAGCGGATTTATTACCTTATGTAAATCGGTTCCAGTTGTCGAGAAGACGGTCATGGTAAGAGACAGGTATGTACTTCTCTTTGAGCCTGCCTTTCATAACCACCCATGTGTTGATGGGACCCATTTGTCGAGCTACTCTCATCATTTCTAGGTTAGCCCAGAATTGGCTAGCTTGACCCGTTAGCTTCATTGCCGCAAATTTGACTCTTCTCTCTTCGGAAAGTGGATACCAGTTGAAGTAATCGTCCACTTGTCGGATCCATTCCAAGAAATCTTTAGGCTCCGATCGGCCATCAAAAGTGGGAACGTCTAGCTTAATGCTCTTCAGGTATCGTTCATCAGGGTCTTGAGTATTACGTCTTTGGTGGTTCTGATCGGCATGTGCTCTTCATTGTGTTCGTTGTTTTGCGTCCCACGTGTTTCTAACCTCTGTAATCTCTCACGGTCTTCTTGTTGAGATTGACGAACTTCGTTCACCGCTTGGGTTAAGGAGTTGAGTTGACTTACGAGGTCGGCTATAGGGAACGTGTTGGAATCCATTCTAAAATTGTCCGACTTACTAGACTCTCCTAATAAATAAGGTTGTCCACTACAGAGTGGCATGCGCTAATCAAGTCCAAACAGACTAAATGATGCAGTTTTTTTTAAATAATGCAATTGTAGACAGAATAATAAATGTAAACTAAATTGTAGACAGTAATTTGATAACAGATTAGAGATATAATTTAAAGGAGGAACCCAACAATATTCTAACAGTTGAAATTGAAGATTACCTGATAGAATTCGTGATTCGAGCTCACTTGTTTTACCTTTGTTGTGCAGGTTGATCGGATCTGATGATCGAGGCGCTGGTGGAGATTGGTCATCGGTGGAGGAGGGGAAGATTGCCTTGATCGAGATCCGGAGGTCGTGCTCGAGAAACCCTCGTCAGTCTTCGTCGTGGTCGAGCTATCCAATGAAGGCTGAAGGAGGAAAGGCCGGTGGATCTGCTAGAGGAGGAGATGAGCGGCAGGAAAGGCGGCACAGATCGCTGTTAGAAGGAGCTGGTGCTAGTGGGGACCTCGGCTGGAAGGAGGCGCTGGAGTGGGAGGCGCGCGGGCGTCTCTGATAAGGAGGGGGTGGTGCTATTCGAGGGAGGAGGGGAAGAAGGGGTGGTGGCCTGGTGGCTGGGAAGAGGAGAGAAGCTAGGGGAAACAACTAGGTTTTTTTTTCTTTTCTTTTTGTAATGATTGATTGGGATGTATTTGTGGGGATATTGAATGGTTGGATTTGAATGGGAGTAGGGATAAAAAAACTAGGGTTTCACACACCTAGATTTAATATTTGGGTTTCACACACCAAATACTTAAAGAAAGAATTTTCATTATTTGGAGAAACTCAAATATTTTTCATCAATAATTCATTACCTTGCTTACAAACCAACCCGCCTTTAAATAGGCTTACAAAATGTTCCATATCTCTCCACATCCGATGTGGGACTAAAATAAAGCTCTTATTAAACAAAACTAAACTACAACTCTTATTAAAAGAAATTAAACAACTGAAAATACAGACTCGACTCAATCTCAACTAAAACCACATAGTGGGAATCCGATGCAAAACTGAAGCACGTCATCTCCTGCGCTGATAGACATGCCGAAAGTTCTGTGCATGTGCCTGGATGTCCGCGTCCGCATCTCTCTTGGCAGAAGATCATGCTCATCTTAAGTATTGCTCACAAGTCGCACATACTGGTTGTATTATATACAGAGCCTTGTGGGAAGAATGCAAATCTTTACATCACACATGAAGACTGCTAGAATTGCCTCGATGACATAATTAATAACCAACATAATTGAAGCTACTATAAATTCAAACTGGTACTGGGTTCCCTTCCAAGACTTCTTTTCCTGTTATTCCTTCTTTTAGGGTCTTGAAGTAAACATCATAATCCTTTTCGGGAGGAGGGTTCGAAGGGTCCACTGTGAAGGGTTCACTAAATGGAATGGTGCTTTTAACCTGATGAATTCACCGAACAAGAGAATTAGGTCAGAGTGAGAAATCGTTTACATCATAATTTTATTGATCCTTTGTTGATCCAACAGAGAATATAAAACCCGTGTCCAAGGATAATTGTAGGATTCAGTCATAATCAGTTTTTAAATAGTGTATACAGTCTACCATTCATTCTGGTTGTGCTTTAAATAGTTTTTATTATAATCCAAAAAGGCAGAGAATTTTAACCTCAAAGGTTTTATTGCATGCATATGGGCTTCCCAGGGCTGCAATACATATTCGTGCAACCTCTTCCCTTGATATTTTCCCCTGTAATCAATTAGAATTTCAGAATGCTTCTCTGTCCTTTCTCAAATAAGTAGTCAAAATATATGCTCACGGGTTAACATACTCTTACAATTTGGTTAAACAATTCACATAGTTGATGACCTTTACCGAATGACAATAACCAATGTAACATAAAGAATATGTAAAATGTAAAGGTGGTCTAAATACCGTTATATTGTCCCCCTGATCAAATATGAGATCAGCTCCCGCTGGCTCTTCAGTCAGCGCACAAGGTCTGACTATGGTGTAAGGAATACCACTTTCCCTTATCAAATCCTCCCCCTGTGAACACATTGTAACAAACGTTACCAATTTTCTGCATATCCGTTATTTTCAAAACTACGCGGCTAAAGTGCTCCACCATGGTCAAAGTAACTATATACGTTGCTAGGAAATACCAAAAGAATAGATTAAGTAATAGGAGACCTTCAGTTTGTATGTGAGGATAAAGCCTAACTCCTTGTTCAAGCGCACTGCAGGATAAGTAATAGGAGACCTTCAGTTTGTATGTGAGGATAAAGCCTAACTCCTTGTTCAAGCGCACTGCAGGAGGTTGTTTGCTCAAATCTAGGCCAGGCCTAGAGGATAAAGCCTAACTCCTTGTTCAAGCGCACTGCAGGAGGTTGTTTGCTCAAATCTAGGCCAGGCCTATCAGGTCGAGTAACTCCAGCGGAACTCACATGTACAAACCTGACAACAACAAACCAAGGAGAGAAGTGAGATAATTTACAAAAACATGTCACTTCAGCCTAGTAACTAATCTTTATCAATATATCTACATTTCCCAGCTTACTAACTGTGAAGGTGGCCTTATTGGTATAATAGTTGCTTAGCTGCATGCTCTTAGCATCCAGGTTGTAAGTAGGGATTTACACATAACTACTTTATAATAGTTGGCACTTCACTTATTTTCCCAACAAACAGGTTGTAAGTAGGGATTTACACATAACTACTTTATAATAGTTGGCACTTCACTTATTTTCCCAACAAATATTATGATTGCATGTGCACCCATCAAAGGCATTACCATTTATCTGTAAGGTAACATACTTGGTAATTGCAACCATACAACATACTCCATTAGTAATCTAGGTCAAAAGCATTTAATATTTGGAAATATGTTAATTAACCTATCAATTCTTTAAAGCTATAATAACATATACAGTAGCATAGTGAAATTGATATATGGAGACACATCATAGTTGTATCGGTCAAATATATGTTGATTACTGGTGGAGGCTACTTATAATATATAAACTTTCAAAAAAAATCGATTTAAATGTGGTAAGATTAAGCATAAAGGGTAAGATTGTTGATGAAATGGAAGCTAGCGCATTTTCATGCTCCTACTCTACCAAATATCGAACTTCTAAAGAATCTTTAGCATATTTAATTAACAATCAGCTATAGTTCGCCTGTATTTAACTGACAGACGTATACAACTTACAGCAACATTGATTTTGTTAAGGGTGTACACATAATTACTCAATTAGTACTTCAGAAGGTAGCGAAGCAAAGTGCTGATTTTCAGAGGGTATGCATGTAAAAAAAATATTGCAAGTATTATGGTTGAGATTATCAAATACTAATGAAGAACTTAGACCTGGGTGCGAGGGGCTCATTCATGTAAGCTCTTATACTTGAGAATGGAAGCTGAAATGCACCTTCGACAAAAGTTGGATTGAGTTTCCCATCATATTCAAACTTGCTGTACATTAGCTGCAACGTATGAAGTACAATAAAATGAAATGAAAGTAAGCAACTAATAATGAGGAAAATTGGATAGAAAAAGAATTGAAAAAGCTTACCTGCAGCGAAAAATATGGCTTGGATCAAAGGGCGGAGCATCATCCTTGGTCCGAGCACGAAATACAGGCCTTAATGAAGAAAAAGGTATTTTAATCTGAAGCAGAGTAGAAAAGACAATGAGACTTCGCGATAATATAAATTAAATAATTAACGTTATTCAAGTGGAAGCATAACATACCGTCTGCCATTGCCCATCCTTAGTGTCAAAGCTTGCTGTATATCCAACAGTATCCCAGTCACTACTAGTGCGCACAATGAGCTTATAGCGACGACCATCACCTTTGACCCTCATTTCAATACCATCATAGGCTGAAAGGTCCTCAGGTATAGAAAAGTTCTGAGAAGGTTGATAATAGTATTTGGTTAATTAGTGTTTACAAGTAATGTACTAAATATGCATGTGCTCTGTAAGAAAAGAATGAAAACTCCTTGGCAAGAATAAAAGAAGAAAAGTTAGTAGCCTATGATTCCAGAAGTATCGCTCAATACAAAATTCTTCATAATATTTTGGTCAAAGGTGTTTGGCTACCACAAATTTACTACTAAGTTGAGACATTTTTGAGTCATCAAGCCAAGTAGTTACCAGTGAAATTGTGGCAAACTGGCCAGGATTCTAAAGAAGTAAACACCGAGTCCATTGACCAGGGGCATGGTTAAATGTGGATTGTGACAAATGAGCAAGAAATAACATCTAAATAGGAGAAACTAAAGCACCAACGATCCTGAAAGAAGGGAAAATGGCGAGGTAAAACTCCAAATTAAGCAAATCCAAAGTAATGCTGTTTAAGGATTAAATTTCTATTTTCAATGCATGACAACAACAATGATGGCAAAGCCTTTATACCAAAATTTCAGGACTGCACAAGAATCATTTTATCCCATTAAGTTCTATTAAAGATTAATCTCCTCCATTAAGTCAACATTTGCACCTCTAATATTCCTTGCTTCATTAATTGTGTTTCTATGACTTCCCCTAACTAGTGCATTTAGTAGGATCCATTGCATGCAGCTGACTTGTCTTAATTGATTCTCCCTCATGTTTATCTTTGGCGAGAGTAACCTCTAACTTATTATAGATGAATTCTTAGAGTATTTGTATTTGGTTATTATAGAGTCTCATTTCTAGTACATTCATCTTTAGATATGTTTGTTGCTTAAAAAACAAAACATTATAATCCACAAGCATATTAGGCTAGAAAGTACGGAAATAGAAAATGATCACAGTTTCAATTATACACCTCTCCTCAAATAAGAAGGAAAACTATATTAGGATAGAAAATATATTAGTCACCTTTGTCCTGATACTAGTAAAGCCACCATTGTTTGCAAAGTTGATACAGTACCTGAAGGAGAAGAAATAATTTCAGTTAGAAGGATTAATTTCTATAACATATACCAGTCACTTGATGCTTCTCATTCGTGTATTCTTTGCACTTCGCTGCAAGCATGAGTAGCGTGGACTGTCGTACCTTTAAATAACCCAGTTGGTCCACCGTCCTCACTTCCAGATGGATCAATTTGAAAAGTACTTTCACTTACTCCTCCCATGACAACATCATCCAGAGCAACCCAAAAAAGTTTTCCAGATAAATTACCTAAAAAACATAAATGTATACATATATAAAGTACCATAAGTACTCATCCTGGTATCACCAGACTAATAAATTATTATTGTTGTTTAAGTATTTAAGTTTGCTTGATATATAGTGCATAACCCATAGACATAGCCATTTAGCTAAATTGTTTGTCTAATACTTATCATAATAATATATTAGTTCCGTTTATTACTAGAAGTACTACTCCGCCTACTTCTGCTTCTACTCCAAGTATGGGGAACGAGTACCTTTGAGTCCAAACAGAAGTTTTCCATCACGAAGACCCGTTCTACTCTGTACAACATTGATCAAAATTCGCATTCTAATATACTCTACTTTTTCTGGTGAATCTCCTTTTATCTAATAAAAAAATACAACGGACAATGACATGGATGAGCCATTCATAGACTAAATTGCGCTGCTTATACATAGCGGGAGAAATTGATTACACACCTCGGGTTCAAAGAATTTGATCCCCTGTGTAGGCTTTTTTAGAAGAAAAATATCTCATACTTCTTCAATTTTTATTAGAAAAACGAGTACACATAAATAGCAGAGAAAGGCTTCAAATCAGAGATCCCACCAAATCAGAAAAATCCTCAACAAGCCAATCTCTAGACTAGAAAACAGAAAACTAACTGTAAATCAAATCTGAAACAGTTATTTCAGATTTTATTGAAACTAACTAAAAAATAAAATCTGAAACAGTAATTTCAGAGAAAATCCTAACTTGTATCCTAAAAAATCCAACACCCCCCCTCAAGTTGGTGCATAGATGTCTATCATGCCCAACTTGCTTACAACCAACTCAAAACTAGTTCTGAAGAGTCCTTTGGTGAAGACATCAGCTATTTGTTGCGTAGAAGGAACGAAAGGCATGCAAATAGCTCCACAATCAATCTTCTCCTTTATGAAGTGTCTGTCAATCTTCACATGTTTCGTGCGATCATGTTGTACTGGATTTTGTGCAATACTTATGGCTGCTTTGTTGTCATAATACAACTTCATTGGCATATGTATTGGTATCTGCAACTCTTCAAGAATTCTCCTCAACCAAAGCATCTCACAGACCCCGTTAGCCATAGCCCTATATTCTGCCTCGGCACTGCTCCTTGCTACAACATTTTGTTTCTTGCTTCGCCATGTGACCAGATTTCCCCAAACATAAGTACAATACCCTGAAGTGGATCTCCTGTCAGTAACTGAGCCAGCCCAATTTGCATCTGTATTACTGTATATGCCTCTAAGTTCTGCTGTTTGGTCTTCTGAAAGAGTAAGCCCTTGCCTGGTGTACTTTTTAAGTATCTAAGAATTCGATATACTGCTTCAAGGTGTTTCTCATAGGGTGAATGCATAAACTGGCTTACCAAACTCACAACAAAAGCGATATCTGGTCGTGTTTGTGATAAGTAAATCAACTTTCCCACTAATTTTTGGTATCGAGTTGTATTCACCATATCACCTTCCTTGTTATCTCCAAGTTTCTGATTGGGATCAATTGGAGTGTCAGCTGGCCTATAATCACTCATTCCAGTCTCCTTAAGGAGATCAAGAACATATTTTCGTTGGGAGACAACAATCCCTTTCTTCGACCGAGCAACCTCCATGCCAAGGAAGTACCTCAAAGATCCTAGATCCTTGATCTCAAATGTTGATGAGATGGAAGTCTTCAATTGATTCATCTCAAGTACATCATCTCCAGTGAGAATTATATCATCTACATACACAATTAGTATGGAAATCTTCCCATCCCGTGAAAGTTTGAAAAACATCATATGATCACCTTGCCCTTGAGAATACCTTTGACTTTTAATGAATTGAGTAAATTTCTCAAACCAAGATCTTGGCGACTGCTTCAACCCGTATAAGGACTTCTTCAACTTATACACCTTTGTGCCGAACTTTTCACCGAATCCTGGGGGTGCATCCATATACACTTCTTCCTCCAAATCTCCGTTGAGAAATGCATTTTTTACATCTAATTGTTGTAAGGACCAGTCAAGATTAACTGCAAGAGACAAAAGAACTCTCACGGAGTTTAGCTTAGCAACTGGGGCGAATGTCTCCAAGTAATCAATGCCGTAGGTCTGAGTGAATCCCTTGGCTACTAGTCGAGCTTTGTACCTTTCTATAGAGCCATCAGTCAATGCCGTAGGTCTGAGTGAATCCCTTGGCTACTAGTCGAGCTTTGTACCTTTCTATAGAGCCATCAGTTTTATACTTGACAGTAAACACTCATTTGCACCCTACAGTTGTCTTCCCTCTTGGTAGATCAACTAATTCTCATGTGCCATTTTTTTAAGAGCTTTCATCTCCTCGAAGACAACCTCCTTCCACTCAAGAACTTTCAGAGCATCCTGCACAGTATTACGAATCTCCATACAAGATAATTGTGTGGTAAAAGCACGAAAGATGGGTGAGAGATTTTCATATGACATATATTTGGACAATGGGTGTTGGGTACAAGACCTCACACCCTTTCGGATGGCAATGGGAAGGTTAGAGTCAACACACTCTGTATTTGAACAAACCTCAGGTTCAGAACTAGCTGACTCAGAACTCGAAGATGAAGTGGACTGAACATGAGGTAAAGAATCAATGAGGACATTACCTGAAGGGTTTATGGATTCTGGGCAGTGCAAAGGATTGGAAGACCCTTTTGAGTTATCCTCTGTCGTGAGTAGACAATATCAAATGGTACTAATGCTGTAGTTTTTTCCTTGTTTCTTCTTTATTAGTTGTTATAGGGTCATGAACATCATGAGATGGCATTGCAGGAAGACCTGCGTTTTCGGTATCTAAAACACTCGACCCACTTTCCCCTGGTATAATAAGGCTTGGATTTTCAGGTTGAATAATCAAGGTTGGGGAAAGATCATTTTGTGAATCTTCAGTTTGGAAAAAATCATAAAAAACCGAATCTTTATTTTGGTTCCCCCTTGAAGATGAGGTGTGAAGTAGGGCATTAATTCAAAAAATGTAACATCCATGGTAATAAACATTTTCTTTGAAATGGGTTCAAAACATTTATATCCCTTTTGAGTTGGAGCATATCCAACAAACACACATTTTGTGGCTCGGGGTTCAAGTTTTCCTCGATCATGACTATCAATATGAACAAATGCAGTACATCCAAATATATTTAATGGTAAAGAAGAAGAAAGTCTATTTGTAGGAAAAAACTTATGAAAAACACCAAAAGGTGTTACAAAGTTTAAGATCTTATTAGGCATTCTATTTGTGAGGTATGTAGCAGTAAGAACAGCTTCACCCCAAAGATACTTGGGTATTTGATTAGTAAAAAGTAATGCCCGAGCTACTTCCAACAAGTGTTTGTTTTTTCTTTCAGCCAAACCATTTTGTTGCGGAGTGTCAATACAAGAACTTTGATGAACAATTCCTTTTTCAAGGAAAAATTTGCCCTGAGCATTCTTGAAATATTCTCGACCATTATCACTCCGTAAAATTTGAATATCTTTTTTAAATTGCGTTTGCACCATGATGTAAAATTTTTTGAAAATTGTTTCAACTTCAGATTTTTCCTTCATCAAATAAACCCAACTTAATCTCGTGTGATCATCAATAAATGTCACAAACCATTTTTTGCCAGAATATGTAGGTGTTCTATATGGACCCCAAATATCACTGTGGATTTCAGTAAATGGTGTAGTTGGTTTATACGGCTAGGGGGAAAAAGATGCACGATGATGTTTAGCAAACTGACAAACTTCACATTGAAAATAAGATGGACTTTTATTTATAAATAAATTTGTAAACAAGTATTTTAAATACTGAAAACTAGGATGTCCTAACCTATAATGCCATAACATGATATCATTATTTTTGGAAACAGAAATAGAATTTAAGCAAGTATTTTGACATCGTCTACTCAAGTCAGATCCATCGTCAAAATAATAGAGTCCATCTTTTTCCTTAGCACTGCCAATCATCCTCCCCGTGGTTAACTCCTAAAACTCACAATAAGAAGAATAAAAATTAGCTTGACACTGATGATCAGAAGTAATTTTATTGATTAACAATAAATTGCAAGACAAATTGGGAATATGGAGCATATCATGAAGGGTTATCAATGAAGTGAGTTTGATAGTTCCTATCCCGGCAATTACCGAGAGTGAACCATCTGCAATTTTAACTTTTTTATTGCCTGCACAAGGACTATAGGAGGAGAACAATTTAGAACAACCAGTCATATGATCAGTTGCACCAGAATCAATTATCCAAGAATGAACAGAATTAGGTACAACACCCAAAAATGCAGTGACAAGAGAGTTACCCTTATGAACCAAAGAATAAGATGGAGTTAAGGACAATTTCGGAGATTGAAACAATTTATGCAGGTGCTCTAATTGCTCCTTGGTAAAAGGAACTGCATCCGAGTTGGTAGAAGGCTCCGAAGTCTCCTCAGTAGTGACTTGGTAGGCACGACCATCACGTTTGAATTTTGGCTTCCAATTCACTGGTTTTCCATGGAGCTTCCAACATGTCTCCCTCGTATGCCATGGTTTTTTGCAATGGTCGCACCATGGCTTTTTCCGCCCGTCTTTATCGAAATCAACACCTTTTGACACAAGGGCAGAGCTCTCAGATTCAATGTTGAAACCAGGTTCAGTGTTGTTCATCATGATTTTTCTCCTTGACTCCTCACGTCTAACCTCAGAAAATACTTCCCGAATAGAAGGCAATGGCTTCCTACCCAGAATGCGGCCTCGAACTTCGTCCAAACTCTGATTAAGTCCGGCTAAAAACATATAAACTCTGTCGTTTTCCTCTCTCTTCTTGTGGCGAGCATAGTCATTCGAATTCTCCCAAACATCATCATAACACTGATCGAGTTCTTGCCATAATATTACCAATTCGTTGTAATAAGTGGTAACATCCCGATCATTCTGTTTGGATTTCCAGAGACTGAGTTTTCAACTCAAAAATTTGAGAAGAATTCTCCAGGTCTGAATAAAGATCTCAAATGGCCTCCCAGACATCTCGAGTAGTAGGAATAAATAAGTGAGGTTTTCCAATGGCAGGTTCCATATAATTGATGAGCCAAGCAATGACAAGAGAATTTTCGGACTGCCATTTTTTCAGATTTGGATCGGAAGAACTGGAAGAGACAGTAGGGTTTTGAGCGCCGGTCATCGCCGACTTGTACGACATCATTATTAGTAAGAAGAAAAGAGGAAAAAAGCATTCGGCTCTGATACCATGTAGGCTTTTTTAGAAGAAAAATATCTCATACTTCTTCAATTTTTATTAGAAAAACGAGTACACATAAATAGCAGAGAAAGGCCTCAAATCAGAGATCCCACCAAATCAGAAAAATCCTCAACAAGCCAATCTCTAGACTAGAAAACAGAAAACTAAATGTAAATCAAATCTGAAACAGTTATTTCAGATTTTATTGAAACTAACTAAAAAATAAAATTTGAAACAGTAATTTCAGAGAAAATCCTAACTTATATCCTAAAAAATCCAACACCCTGCAACAAAAAAGACATGCATTATTGGCTTGAAGAATCCATTGCTAATTAAGTTCAGAATCAAGTATGCATAAAAAGAGGCCATTTTTTACTTTTGATGGAGCAGACCTACTTGGCTATACTTCTCCCTGTCAGGAGTATCTCCTTCCTTTGGACCAACAATCACGGATACTGCATTGATCACTTTCTTTACTCCTTTGAAGTATTCAGGAGCTAGTGTTTCCTCCTTAGTAATATCTCCAACAACCTAAGAGATTGAAAGTGTGATGGTTGAGTCAGTTGAATATTAGACAGAAAAAACAGCATTTACTAGCTATTTGGGCTGAATAGGATCAACATCCGAAAAATTCCAAAGGCGTTCATAAAAAACCCCATAGGATTTGTGATTAAAAATATTTAACGCCCACGGTTGGCTTGTACATAAATTGGCCCAAAGTGTCAGATAGGATTTGTGATTAAAAATATTTAACGCCCACGGTTGGCTTGTACATAAATTGGCCCAAAGTGTCAGATTAAGAGTTGATCATAGAACTTAGCAGGTTCCCTCTTTGGAAAATTCTTGAATTCAAGTCATGTCCATGGTCAATCTCATCTTGATGAGAAAAATTTTCAAACGATGATGACAATTATGCTGAAAATAACAGAAAGCAACAATGCAAAAAAAAGAACTAGGAAATGAAATCTCATGTGTGAGTCACCATCACAATATAGACTGTCCCATGCTTGATGCCAAAATATGTGGCCCAATAAACAACTCAAGATTCATCATAAAAATATCAGTAACCTTTTATGATTCTGATTCTAAACTTGTAGTATGTTTGTCTCAATGTATGACTCCCATGTTTTCTAATATATCTGGAACGAAACACTAAAACCTTAATGTACAAAGCTCACCAAGTCCACATCTGGCCCTAACATGGTTCTTGCCTTCTGTTTGTTTCTAACCTGCAAGACATGATCATAGACTTTTAATTGTTAAAAGAAAACACTGCATAATATTGAGTAGGCCTACGAATTATTTATTTGACAAACATATAGAAATATCAGTATAGCATGATACCAAGGCACGAACTGGCAACCCTTGCTTGCGTAATATGTCAACAACTCTTCGGCCGACACCTCCAGTGGCCCCTGCCACCAGGACTAAATCAGAAGTTTCCATTTTCTCTACTGATTCGATAGATGCCGAACTTGAAACTTTTTCAAGCATTGATGCAATGATCTTGACAAATAAAAGGATACAATTAGGTAGGATATAATAGAAATTTACACTTTTGAGAATCAACTAATAAATAAATACTTCCATATGCTGTATACCAACCTTGGCAGGATTTGGTGGCCCGTTAAAGAAGTACAATGTCCGAAAAAATCTACCGAAATCCCAAGATTTTTGTCCACTCTCAGCATATACAGCCCACCTATGTGTTTTTGATGATAAAAAAGGCCAGACTCCGTTGTATAGACATTGCCTACGTGTAAACTGAATGAACTGTTGAGACGGAAGTGATAAAGTCTTATGCTGAAATGCGTTCAAATTAATTCTGCATGTATATGATGGAGAAACCCCCTGAAAAAATTGCTAAGCAAGTTAACCTTAACAATACATAACAAAAATTCATAAAGTTGTATTAATAAATAATAAATCATTGTGGTAACTAAAATAATAAAATTTCCATAGTTGCAAAATTATTTTGCAACTACCACTTGTCTAAAGATCTTAATATTTCCATTGATTTCGTACTGCCGTTCAAATGACCTCCCTCCCAGTTACCCTTATTCCATCTTTTCTTCTGTTTCATCTTTGATTACCATCATCATTCTCTTCGATTGTATGCAAGGTTTTAAATATTGAATATCGGGAAATATCGGACGACCAAACTCCATATCAGATTGCCGACATCGGGGAAATGTCAAAGATATATAGTAAATATGAGTGCTACATCAGATGATGTGCATATATAATATAATGTCCTAAAATGTTATCTAAATATACCTAATGAATCTAAGGATACAAAGATATAAATAATATATGTTTAGGATCATTTACCAATCTTTTAAAAGCAATAGAAGTCCAAAGAAGCAGTGTAATATTTCAGTCAATTTTTTAGGCTGAAAAGTAACTTGATATATTAGGGAATTATGATATAGTGCCCAAAAATTGTCAAAAGCAATATATTGTTCTGCAACAAGACAAATGAAAGAAGTCAGCAAACATATCAACTGGTATATCGACCATGTAGGGAATATATCGTCCGAATTTCCAAAAAGTGTTAAAGGATATCGAGACCATATCGTTTTGCGGGAAGCCTTATAAAAGATATAACAGCCCGATATATCGGCTATGCCAAAGGATATTTAAAACAAGTATTATATGTTAGTTATAAATATCATGTTAACCTAAGGGTCAATTAGAGAAAAAAACCCTGAATTTTGAGGGAGTTGCACTAAATCCCCCTCAACTTTTTAATTGCAGTAACCCCTGTCACTTTAGGAGTTATAGCACATCACCCCCTTAACTTTTTATTCCATTAAATCTTACCTGGAATTTTCTCATTTTATCCTCATATTAGCGCCAACAATTCTAACATATCAGTGGGTAAGCACATGCCAAAAAAAAGACAAAAATTCCTTTGTAGTCTCAAAATATACCCTTTCAGGAAAAAGGAAAAGTAGCTAATTTTTTGGGACTAATGGATTGTTTTCATCTTTTTCTTGGCACGTGCTTGCCACACGAGACGTTAGAATCGATGGTGCTAATTTGGAGAATAAATGAGAAATTTTCATGAGAAATTTAGTGGAATGCAAGCGTTTAGGGGGGAGAGGGGGAGGGGGGTTATGTACAATAATTCCTAAAGTTTTTTTTTTCTTTTTTTTTT